AGATTTTTCTTTCCCCTTCAACTATAATAGACATTTTGGCTGGATATAGTAATCTGGGTTGGCATCTGTGGTCATTTAACACTGGGAATACTTTGGTCCAGGCTCTTCTGGCTTTCATACTTTGCACTGAAAAGTCAGCTGTAATTCTGATAGGTTTTCCTTTATATGTGACTTGTTTATCTTTTGCAGCTTTCAGTATTCTCTCTGTGTTCTGTACGTTTAGTGTTTTTACTATAATGTGCCATGGAGTGATTCTTTTCTGGTCCTGTCTATATGCTTCTTGTATTTGTATGGGCATGTCTAATTTTAATTTTGTGAATTTTTTTTCTACAATCCTGTTGAAGATCTGGTCCATACCATTATCCTGAGATTCTTCTCCTTTCTGTATTCTTATGATTTGTAAGTTTTGTCTTTTTTTTTTTTTTTTTTTTTTTTTTTGGTGTCACACAATTCCTGCATGTTCCATCCTTGTGTTTTCTTAAGTTTTTCACAATCTTTGCTTGAGTGGTCTGATTCATCTACTTTATCATCCATTTTTGATATTCTGTTTTCCATTTCATTCAACCTGTTGGTGAGGCTTTCTCCTGTCATTTCTAATTGGCTTACTATTTCACTTCCTTATTTTCAGCCTGAGTATTCTTCAATAGTTCTCTTTTCTCAATTCATTCAGAAGTTCATCCCTATCTTCCTTCAGTTCTTTGATTTCTTTTTTTGTGTGTTCTTTGAAGTCACTGAATTCTTTTATCATATTCATCATTGTTCTTTTGAGATCCATGTCCTGCATTGTCTCTAGAGGATTCTCATTGTTCTGAAGTTTATCCCTATCTTCTTTCAGTTCTTTGATTTCTTTGTTTGTGTGTTCTTTAAATTCACTGAATTCTTTTATCGTGTTTATAATTGTTCTTTTGATTTCCATGTCCTGCATTATCTCAAGGGTGTTTTCACTGTACTCCTCTAGAGGACTGTTGGTACTTCTTGGGGATATATTATTTTGGTTTTTCATTATATTATTTTTTTCTCTGTGACTTTGACGTGTGGATGATCTTTTGTAGTTTCTGATTCTTGTGTGAGACTCAAGCCTTCCTTTGTTGAGTTTAGGTTTGCTTCTTTTTGTAAACTTTATGTCCCTTTGTGGTTTTTTTTCTTAGGAATGAAAAGCTGGTTGGTCTAGGCTCAGGTTCTCTCTTTTGGTTTTATATTGGAGTGGCCAAATTGCTTTCATCTTGCTGCTCAGGCATTACCACAGAGGCCCAAGTAGGATAAGGATCAGATGCTCTCATGCTTTCTCCTAAGGTCTGGATTCCTCTAGGAAAAATGCCGGCCCTAGGAATTTGGGGGCTGGGCTGGCCTGGGTGCAGGGCCCAGGAAAGATGCTCGCCCAGGAAGCTGGTGACTGTGCCACCCAGGAATGCAAAGGGAGGTGGGGACAGGAAGAATCCCCAGGGGCTCCTGGGGACTATAGGGAGGAGTTGGGCTTGTCTGTATGCAAAGGATCAGAAAGCAGTGGGGATTCTGGGCTTAGAGATCAGTCTAGGGGTCTAGGGTGCCATGACAAGAAATGGGACAGTGCCCAGGCTAGGAGGAGAGATGGGGTGGGGGACATGGGAGGGTTAATGAGGCTCGGGGAGTCAAGGCATGGTGGGCACCATGGAACTTACCCAGGAAAGATGCTGGCCCCAGGAGGCTGGTGACTGTGCTGCCCAGGAATGCAAAGGCAGGTAGGAGCAGGAGAGTCCCTGAGGGCTCCCTGGGACTACAGAGAGTTATTGGGTTGTTCTGTATGCAAAGGATCAGGAAGCAGTGGGGATTCTGGGTCAAGAGGTCAGTCCAGGGGTCTGGGGTGCCAAGACAAGAAATGGGCAAGTACCCAGGCTAGGGTGGAGGAGTGCATGAAGTGTGGGGAGTCAAGGTGTGATGGGGGCTGTGGAAATTACCCTGGAAGGATGCTGACCACAGAAGCTGTTGGCTGTGCTGCCCAGGGATGTAAAGGGAGGGGGTGGAAGGTAGATGCCTGAAGGTTCCTGGGGACCAGGAAAGATGCTGCCCTCAGGAATGGCACCAAAGCTTTTTAAGAAATGCTTTATGGTATAAACAATATTTTAAGTTTTTCCCCCCTTACAATGTAAGGAAAGTTGTTATGGAACATTAGAAAACCGAGGACTCTGGCAAGAAATGGTTAAGTGAATATATATTTTGAAGGTTGAAGCAGGCTCAGTAGTATTAAGGGTCTAACTTCATGTACTGAGATCTGAAAATGTTTGCCATGAGATCTGTGCTGTTAGTCATTCTTCCTTGTTGAAATCAGAAGGAGTTGTTTCATAATGTTAATATAAAGGCCCTTTTGTAAACAGTTCATTAAACTGTATATTTTTAATATTCTTCCTGTTATTTTATTGTATAAATAAATCCCAGTGATTAAAGTTTCATGATTCAGAAACAAGTAACATTTTTGACATTTCTAAAATTTAACATTTTAACTTTCCCTAAATTACCTTTTCTAAGCTTCTTTACATACACGTGAACTCATACACTCACATGCATAGCCTTGTGTGGTGTCACATGCATTTTATAACCCTGCCGTGTTTCACTTAACAATAGGTCTTAGAGCTTTCTCTAGATCATTGCTTATAATTCCCTAAGTGTTTCTTAATGGTTATAGTATTCTAGTATTTGAGTGTATCATATTTTTTCTTCTCAGTTTTGAGAGCAAATAATTAAGCTTTCTTCCAGCAGAACTCATGCCTGAAAAAGTCCCCCAGGGCTTTGCAGAGAAGGATAGGTATTCGAGAAATTCCACATTCTGTGAAGTGGTATCAGAAGCAAGGAACCAACTGGGGAAAGGGAGCTTTAAGGAACAATAAAGAACAGCGAAAAGACCTTATAAAATTAATTCCAAATGCTTACTGCTGGAACATTTTGGCCAAAAAGCTTATTGGTGCAGACCATATTTAAAAGAAAAATCAGACCTTGTAGATAACAGCTGATTGATGAAGTGTAGCGCTCTCACTTACTAAAGAAATGTAAATTCTTCTCTTCACTTATTTGTTCTGTTTTGGAATGCTTATCATATCTTGGAAAATAATTGTGTAACACAAAAGGGTTGTTTGCCTTTTCAAAAAAATATAGCAAGAAAACCAACAATTTGTGGACATAATGGTCATGTATTTTGACCATGATTGAGAGGCTTCTGACCAATAGTAGACCTCTGTTTATTAAAATATAGGTCACAGCATTTATGACTACAAATGAGCCTTTTACAGGGTGACAAACCACTTCTGTGCCTGCTATGTACTTCTCCCTGCAAAGAAACAATGCCATAATTTGCTGGTCGACTTTAACCCATACATACTTGGTGTTCTGGTTGTAAATATGGTAGTGTTAGGTGCTTCATGATGGTCATTTAATGCATAAAGAAACCTGTGTGACTCAAAATGGAAAACAAAGAACTGTCATTTTCTTTCTATGGCCTAGAAATTATTATAATAGAATCTCCTACAATGAATTTTTTTAGCCTTTTCATTATTCCTGGAGTTATTTTCTCAATGTTTAAAAGTTTTAAGTAGTAACTGATTTTCCATTTTGGTTATATTTTACAACCTGGTATCCCTTTGCTTGTAAGAACTATATACTTTGTTTTTCCAAAACCCTTACAGCAGCCAACCAATATAGTGCTGGGGATTTGTCAAAGAATAAATATTATGCTGTTGAGTTTTCATATCACTTTGTGTTCTAGTAATTGCCCCCGCCAGTTAAATCTGTTATAAGTAATACTTTACTTGTATATAATCTGTTGAAACCTACCCTTTCAGTTAACCAATCTGCCACCTCCTCTGATTTACTTTCCACAAAGCATACTTACTTTCACCTGTGCCTGCCACCAATGTCTAGCCCAGAAGTCAGTGGCTTTTCCGAGAAATCTGATCTAGAATGCAAGGCTATTACATCTCTTTAAACACCTTGTTAGAGCATATGTGTTTGGGTAGAGAAATACTTGTTTCTAATTCCCTGTTGCTTCTGTCTGCAGACTACATATTATGTGACAATTGATTTATAGCTGTTATTCCAAATACTTGCCATAATCTTGAAAGGTCACTGACATCTGTTTTATATAAGAGGAAATCAAGGCCCGCAGAGACAAGTATTTGTCAAGAGTTGCAGAGCTGGTGAGGCAAAACAAGTATTCAGACCCCAGTTTAAAGCGTCTGAAAACAATGCTTCACAAACTGTTCCTAACAGACATCTATAACTGAGTTATCAAGAAAAAGAAACTGGATTTAGGAGGGAGGAACTCAGAGAGCATTCGGAGCCAATGCAGCCACCCCTTTCCGTGTGATTTGCTTTCTTAGTGCCAGACTCCTCCTTTACAAAGTGGGAGTTCTGCCTGCCTTGCAGGATTATTGGGAAGAACCAGTGGAAAGATACATAAGAACTTTTAGTGTGTTAGTAAATTTTCAACAAAATGACTTAATCTTCCTTTCCCATACACATGTCACATTGCACTTTGAATAAAACAGAAGATGGCATTGACTAGTGCTTTAAGTAATAATCAGGCATTCAAACATATTTTGGAAATTAAAGTTCTTCTATCCTTTACTATTCCCAAACAGAAGATACTGACTAGTTAGTGTTCCCATTGTGTTTTTCATCATAGGAATTTTGAAGGGCAGAACAGATTTCAGTATTGGCAGCAATATAATTTGTAGTAGGAGGATATAGTTTTTAATTATTTGTTTTAATCCCATTCAGATTTCCAAATGTTCCTGGAGTCTTCTGTTACCGGGGGCCCATGACTGGCATTCAGATTTAGCTTATTTGTATGGCAAGCTATTGGAAGAGTTAGGAGTAAGAACAATAGTTATATAAGGAAATAAATGCATTGAACATATATTTCTGTGGCCACTAGAATTTTGATAAAATAATCAGTGCATTTGTGAAAACTTGATTTGTAAAGAAAGCAAGTTTCTTTAACTAAAACCTTTTCTCTTTAAAATTGTTTTTAGGATGCAGAATAGAAAACTGTGATTCTTGCTTTAGCAAAGACTTTTGTACCAAGTGCAAAGTAGGCTTTTATTTGCATAGAGGCCGTTGCTTTGATGAATGTCCAGATGGCTTTGCACCATTAGATGAGACCATGGAATGTGTGGGTGAGTAGTTCTTAATGCAGCTCTCATACTGCACATTTTAACACCTGTTTCTTGAAAATATGCATGTTGGATATATTCAACCTAAAAACAAATGGGTTCTATTGTTCATTAGAACTGAAAATTTTTACCTTCTTTGCTGGCCTTATATCTTTTAAAGATCATGATGATTTTTAGTGTTGTATGTGATGTTTTGTTACAAAATTAGCTAGTTGTACATTTGCTGAGTTGATCTACTTAAGGGCTATATTAGTAGAAAAAAGCATTTTATTTAGGAGAAAACCAAAAATTCCAAAAAAATATTATGTCAACCATTTTATTGCTTTGACTATGGAAATAAATGAACTATAGAGCTTCTTACTTAACCATCTGTGTAAAAAAATCAATTGAAAGAATTCTTTGTGCTCAAATATATTTTGTTGATTGCAGGCTGCAAAGTTCCTTAAAATAATTTTCTCTCTCAAACAAATTTTAGATCTATAGACTGTATAATTTAACATGCACATTGTGAAAAATAGTTACACAACTTAGAAACTTCATATGAACTTCATGCTTTAGTGTTTATAAAATACTTTGGATTTCATGCCTCTGTTCCTTATGTTCATGCACCAACCCTGACTCCTGCTATCTTTCCACCTCCTTTTCCTCAGTGGTCCCTAAGTCATCCTGAATTTAATCATAACTGTAATTTCCTGACCTTTTCCCTCACATTTTACTTAACACTTTGTACATCCAATTTGATATACAACTTAATAATCAGTTATCAATGATACTTTCCATTCTTTTAAATGGAGAGATTTAAAACAGATCTTGATTGATATTTTTCTGTTTGAATATCCTGAAATAATACACACTTATGTACCTGAGAAGATGTAACTTGTAGAAAAGAATTCACTTAAAAGTGAGGTATGGAAAGAAATATAACTCTTTTAAAATCATAGTTATGTGTGAATTAATACATGAAGATATCACTCAGTTAAAAATAACGTCACTAAAGAAGCATATTCAGAGTACTGTTTTTTACTTTGAGAAGCAAGAATCACACCCATTACAAATATTCAATGGAAATGCAGGAAAATAGGATAGACACACAACAGTTCTTGTATTCCCTTGCATAATTATATTAAACAGGCTAGGTGTGGTAGCTCATGCCTTTAATCCCAACAGATAGAATGCAGAGATCAAGGCCAGCCTGGTCTACATAGCAATTTCCAGGTAGGCTGGGACTACACAGAGACTCTGTCTGAAAACAAGCAAAAAATTAAATGGCTTTGAAAAATCATAGATATGGCTCGGATGCCTATGGAGATCTAAAATGCTGCAATATAGTGTGTGGACTCTGGGGTGGAGTCCTCATCTGCTCTTATAAAGGAGCTTTCCAGTGGTGAAGCTGATAAGGAGATCAAGTCTGCATAGCTTTACCCTCTCATTCCCTCTTCCACCTCTACTCAATGAACTTATGAAAAGGGATACTGAAAGTTTTTCCATACTTTAGGAAAAACAGATCCTGATCATGTTTGTTTAATTTTAAAATTGTTGTAATGTACAGCATCAATGTAGAGAATAAGAAATACATGCATACCTATTGAAAGAATACACAGAAGCAGAAAAATGCAAAATAAACTGTGGTCTCCCCACCCTGGTACTTCCAAAATAAGACAGAGTTGGGGAAGGGCATTCAAAATAGCCTTACAAATTCTTACTTCTGTAAGGAAGTACTTCTGTCACAACATGTAAGTGGTGTTGTCTGTTTCGAATTTTAGCTGTCCAGTCTCTTAGAAATCATACATTTCCACATTTAGAACTGACCAGCAGAATCTCTTCAAAAACATGAACTAAGACAAATGGAAAGTAACAGCTTCTTAATTACTTACGTGGCATTTGTTTGTCCGAGCTGTCAGCACCCAATGATTCAAAGAACTGTAGTTCCAAAAAGGCAAGTGCAGATCCTGTGGGATATGTAACTTAACTCCTGGTATCTAAAGGTGGAAATCATGGATAAATACTGTGTAAATTTGATGTCAGTGGAACAAGTGGATACCGAACTGCTATTTGTGTTTGTATTCTTTTTTTAAATATTTATTAGAAGGATGTGAAGTTGGTCATTGGAGTGAATGGGGAACTTGTAGCAGAAACAATCGCACATGTGGATTTAAATGGGGTCTGGAAACCAGAACACGGCAAATTGTAAAAAAGCCAGCGAAAGACACAATACCATGTCCAACTATTGCTGAGTCCAGGAGATGCAAGATGGCCGTGAGGCACTGCCCAGGAGGTAGGTTTGAATAATCACTGTCATGCGCTGTATGCTTTCTAAATTTTCTCCCTCCCTCCTGACCGTCCATTCCAATAAAAGTTATTTATCCGTGAAGGAAACCTGATAATAACACTGGAAAGGACATAAAATTCTGTGTATTTAGAAACAAATACTAAAATTGTGAAGAGTATAAAGTGAACATTTCATTTACTTTTCTATTTTAAAAATAACTTGAAAGCATAAATGTGTTTTCTAAGATGAGATTTCTAAAGTGTGTGTGTGCACGTGTGTGTGTATTTCAAATGAACCATAAAAGCAGGTTCTTATAAAACCAAACCTTTGCAGATGTTGCTCAGAGGGAAGGAGCCAACTTTTAGTTGAGGAGAGTTTAGATTAGAAAGGTTTATGGAATCTGTAAAAATCATCTGTATCATTACTAGTTGAAGATGACAACTTAAAATAAACTTGCCAAAACACTGGGAGGAATAAACATTGTCTTAATGATACCACAATTAGCCCTTTCTCTTTGTTTTGATAATAATTTGTAGAAAACAGCTACTGGTATGTGTGCATTTAACTCTATAATAATTATGCTGATTTGCAGTCATTATTCTGTAATAGCAGGATTAGACCCATTTGGAAATTAGGAGACGAGCACTAGGTATTGTTCAATGCAGAATCAGGAGATCAAAATGCAGTTATTTTGTATGTGGTCTATGAGTATGTGTGTGTGTACACATGTATATGCATATGTGTGATTACCCATGTAAGTGCATGGTGAGGCCAGACTGCAACATTAGGTGATTTCCTTTATTACTTTCTATCTGCTTGAGACAGATCCTCTCACTGAATCCCCTGGACCCTGTGTCTCTGTGCCCCCAGTGCTAGGGTTGCAGACACACTTGGATGCTGGGAGTATGAACTCAGATCCTGAAGCTTGTGCAGCAAGCACATTACTGGTTGAGCTATCTCCCCATCCCTTGACATGAAATTCTTAATAGGGTTGATGTGCTTAAAGTATCAATCATGGGGCTGGAGAGATGGCTCAGTGGTTAAGAGCACTGGCTGCTATTGCAGAAGACCTGGGTTTGGTTCTCAGCACCCACATGGTGGCTAATAACTATGGGTAACTCCAGTTAAAGGGAAACTGATGCTCTCTTCTGACCTCCTCGGGCATTGCACAACATGGCTACACTCACATGCCTGTAAGCAATACACTCATATACATAAAATAAAAAATAGAAAAGGAAAGCAAGAAGAAAGTTGTGTTTGGAAAAGTGCCTTATAAAACAACCCAAACTTTTGTTTGCCCTCTTTTATCTCCCCCGTTGGTGCATAGCTTTTCAGCTTTTTAACCATAGCCCCCAAATAGAACATATATTTGCTTAAGATGGGTTTGAATCTGCACTCTGCTGGCTCATAGGAATGTCTATGATCCATGGAGAAAGACAAAACTTTGAAGCCTGGAAGACTCCAGTCAGCCTTTGAGAGCTATTAGATCCAGATTCAGAAGCTTCTGTTAAGAGAGCAGCTTTTCCTCTTGAATTAGTTTTGCTTTTCCTTACTGGGCCTTTGAAACAAGGGTTTTTTTGGGTCTGCTTTTCACTAACAAGGATGGTTTTGTTCACTCAAAATGGGTATTTTTCAGTCAAAATATAAGAAAATATTTTCTTACAAAACTAATAATCCACTTCTTGGATAGCTGAGAGCATTTAACCTGCAACCTTTTGCCTAAAAACAAACCTGATGTATTCAGGTATTGAAAAGAAAGACTTTCTTTGTTGCATATTGTTTATATAAGTAGCCCCTCCCCATTCCTTTTCAAGCAACATCGTCCCACAATTGTGGTTTACGTTAATCACAAAAATTAAACTAAAACTATTCTCATAGCAAACATGCTTATGTGTAACAAGAGCACAAACATTCCCCACCCCTTTGGAACATTTTATTTTGTCCTAGCTTTAGTCTTGCTTGAGGATTTTCTAGATAACAGAGAGTTAGCTATAGTGTTTATTACATTTGTAGTTTTCATGTAACAACAGTTACTGTCTTAGTGAAATACACTTGCTTCTATTGACAATTAAAATTATGCCACTCAAAATTACTGTTGCCTGATTTGCTAGTTTTCTTTTACTGACAAGTGAACCAGAGATGGATTCTGACTTCATTTGTATTTAGATTTTACCATATTTTATCTATTGAGGAAGAATAGGTGTTGCTTTAATTTCTATAGCTATCTAAATTTTCAGTTTAATGAATTTTTGCATAGCTATTAAATAGTAAGTGCACATTGTTTACTTGCAGTAGATTTTCAAAGTTATATTGGAACTTGTTTTATTTAAGGGGAAATAAAATAGAATTGTAATAGAAATAGCAAATGGCTCTGCAATATAATAATTTCTATTTACAAATGCTTCTGCATAAGAACTTGGAACTTGAATGGCAGTTAAAAATTGGCTTTACTTGCAATAGAGTGTCCCACCTTGCCTCAGGTGAGAGGGAAAAGTCCCTTTCTTCAGCAGGTCACACTGATTAATGGAAGAATGGAGAAGAAAACCACTTTATCCCTTTTGCCATCTTGATTTGATTTTGGTGATCTGCTTTGACAAACCATGCAAAAATGTAAGTCGTAAGCAGGTTGGGAATACAGGCATTTTTCAGTTCTTTTCAACATATGTATGGACTTTTCTCCTGTTGGAGCCAATCTTAAGCTGATTGCACTCAAATGCAGCCTTAACCTCCTTCACACTGAGCAGCAGCACATTAAAATCAGCTGCTTTTGATTACTGAGAGGCATGAGTTAGAGGTCAGCCTAATAGAATAGTTGCTAAATGTATGAGATGGTACACTGAGAACTGGTACATAGGAGAAAATACGTAACTAAAAGACTGAAAACAACAGTTAAAAACCCCAGCATAACTACCTGGAATATGTTTTCCTTAACTGTCATATGCTGATTTGCTTTATGAGGAAAAATGAAAGAGAAAAAATATAAAACTTTAGTATGTTTATTTACCCTCAAAGTACCCAATGTTCATTCCCAAACTTTTCTTTTTGATCTGTTGCTTTTCTTCAATTTTTAATGAAATCTGTAAGATTTCTTGGACCTTTCTAACAGTTGTCAGAAGTTTGGTTTGTGATCTGGGTGTACACATCCTGTCAACCCCTAACTTCTGTGACCCCTGGCAAGTCACTTAACCCCTTGGCCTTTATTTCCTCATTTATAAATTGAAGGTATTGATGTGGGTGATCGCTAAGGTCCAGTCTAATTCTAAAATCTAATGATTCCTGAAAGGTACAGGTGAGGTCTGTATTTGCCATTTAGACAATAAGGAAGAGATCTGAAAGCCCAAGAGCACTGATGGCAACTACAGAGCCTATCATGTTTCACAGGTAACTGCTCTGAGCATTTGCTAAACCTTCTGCAATTGGCTGTCAGCCCCTGCTCCAAAAAGGACTGCTGTGTAGTCAACCTTCAGAGACAAAATAATATTCTTTTTAAATGTACATGTGACCTGTGACTTAGCTACCAAAAAGCAGAAGTATAGTGAAGGAACAAAGAAATAAGGGTAGCATAATAAACCACAGGAAATAAAAGAAATTGAGTTGAAAGTGTATTTGTGAAACAAGTGGAGAGAAGGGTGGATTCCTTAAAAGTGAAAACTGTGCTTGTTGCAGATATAACCATTTTCACTCCCTGAGTAATAGAATAATTCTATCATGTTTTATTAGTGTACACCCAAAACTTTGAAGGGAAGGAATTTCAAGTGGTGAAGTTGTGTATTAGACAATACCTTAGCTGAAAAAGATGAATATGTTACATATTTGAGTAACCCACGGGAGAACAAAAATCAAGCTGGTAAAGTATTAGCCTGGAAGACACTTATGTGTAGGTGAAAATGTTATCTGTAGGTGTGTATAATTTTCACTCTTACAAGACTGGCCAAAATTCTTTGTCATCTATATGTGTTACTCTGAATTATTTTGTCAAGTTCTATAATATTATTATTATTATTATTATTAGAGTGAGAGCACGAGAGAGAGAGAGAGAGAGAGAGAGAGAGAGAGCAAGAGAGAGTGAGAGCGCAACTTTGTGGAGTTGTTTCTCTCCTATTTTATGTGGGTTCCCTGGATCAAATTCAGGTACTCAGGCTAGTATAGCAAGTGTGTTTAGCTGTTTAACTATCTCTCTGGCTCCAACATCAAGTTCTTTCAGATATTTGTTGGGTACTGTTGTATACTGTTCATTGGTCTGTTGCTTAAAGAATTCTCGAGGTTTTCCTAAAAGGGATAATTTCAATAAAGAAGTAAATGGATTAACATATATAATTTCATGAGGTGACATAAGTTGTACAGAGAAATAAAGCAGGGTGTAGTTCACTCAGTAGGGTGTAGGCTGAGGTTTACTAACTTATATTCAAGGAAAATGGTGAGAGTGACATTTGGTCGGAGATACAAAAGATGGGGATTTCATATAGATTGAAGACAACGTATTTTTACTAGTTGACTCAATGAATCTTTATATATTCTTGATTCTACAGTATTTTAGGGAAGGGGGAAGTCCCAGTGAGCTCCACGGTAGCGCTGACTGATCCATAACAGGTTGCTAGCAGTAGAGTGAAGAGCAGGACCCAGGTCTTGCTGCTTAGGAACCCCAAGTTTTCTTGTGCTTTTCCCTTGTCCCTATGATAAGAATCAATGGTAAAGTCATGGCTGTCTTACATCCAAGTACCCAACTTCTACTCTATAAGTAGTTTACATGCACATCATGCTAACTCCATTCCTCCCTGACATCGTCCAGTGAGGCAAACCCCAGAGGTCATATTTCATAAGTGCCAAAGCATCATGTCCGTAGCTTTGCTTTGACTCACTTACCCCTATGAAAGCCCTTAGTGTCTCTGATCTTCAGTTCAGAGGAAAATATGCCTTCAAGGTTGCCTTTCATCCTTAGTCCTGAGGATCAGCATTCTGGGAGAGGCTATCTGTTATCTGACCTCACTCAGCATTCACTTTCTGAA